TAGTGCACACGGCGAACATAGAGATCAAAGAATGTGTCAGACCCAAAAAGTGGTCTGGTCGCTTACAGGAGGTGGTCGTTTATTGGGAAAATCTTGGTGTTTTAGATTGGCGGTCTCTTATGGGAGGTGGTCGCACATGGAGGTTCGACTGTAGTTAAGAAAAATATAACCTCGTGTATTCTAAATGGCACTTTCTGTAGTTTCGAGGTCAATGTCAGCGTTGTTAATGTCAAGCTGAACTCCTCTTAATCAATTCGGCTTCTGATCCATGACATAGTTTTAGCATATTACTCCCCTTTCATGATGGTGGTACCCAAGAGAGAATGAGCTTGTGGTACCTAAGGCATTTCTTTCCCATTACGCCAGTTGTGGTGAAGACCAAAGGTCTAAATGTTCCATCCTTAATGCCAAGAACTCTCCTTGAATACAGAGGCTTTTTCTCGTTGTCATGCATACGAGAAATCTGTTGCGGCGTTCAGGTGAAGGTCCTTATACGATTCAGCGTCTGGGTGACAGACCCTAACATAAAGGAATGCCGATCGTTGGAGCTCATAGAACCCACGTGCGTGGATATCCAATCAGGCGTCGTAGTCCACAGGTCTTCTAGTGTCCTTAGTCTTCGCTTTAGTCCCCTGGACTTTTCGTTTAGTGCAGGGGGCTTCCTGTCAGTCCATGGGTCTTCGTTTTAGTCTAGGGATCTTCGTTATAAGTCCACTTAAGTAGTATAGGGTGCATGCTTCGGCTCGACCCTTTTTTGCGGAGCAATGTCAATGGCTTGCGGAGAAAGACAAAAACGCCGATATAAAACGTCATAGCCTTTTGTCTTTATTTCATCAATAAAATGCGGGAAATCTCAGCAGTTTGTGAATAAAATACGGACGTCATTTGCAAATTTGAGGCGGTTTAACCCGTTGGAAAGGTGTTTTTAGTTCAGTGTTAGTTATCCAGGTCGATAAATGTCTTGCCTTTAATTGGTTAACTAAGCATTTAGAAAAGTATTCATTGATTGATTCATATCGTCGAAGGAATAAGTGCTCAGTCTCAGAACCAAACCAAAAAGGTGAAGAAGTGGATGAGGGGAGGTACAGTCCCTATCAAGAGCCACGTACAAGCAGAGGAAAAAGTAGAGAAATCAGACCAGAAAGCAAGCGACAAGATCTTACAAAGAACCCCCGTGGCTCATGCAAGAACCAAACACATTAAGATGTCTAACAAACGCCATCATTTTGTTTCCGAAGGACTACAAAGAGGAACAAACAATCTGAAGTATGTCTGTTTTGATGGGATAGTCGCAGATATTCTGATCCACTGGCAAAAAAAGTAAGCATTGTCAAAAAGCGAGGGTGTTGTTATTTATCACAGAGTAATTTTTACAATTGGTTTCAACGTTTACAGACGTAAAGAAGTGAACCGATATTTATTCAGACAATGAACTTGTACACTTATTCAGAGTATTTCATTTCGTTACTTCTTTTGAAGACTGTATGTTTCTGGTGCTTTTCGTTGTGGATTTCAAGCTCGCCGTTTTCATAGCAGAAAAAATGCTTAAGATAAAGGAGGATGAGGGAGGAGAATAAAAATAGAGGAGGAAAAAGAATTATACAAATAAGGAGGTAATAAAAAATGAGGAAGAAGAAGAAGAAATGTGGTGGTGTAAAGAAAACAATAAAAATGCGGTGGTGGTGGTGTAGCGAAATCCATAGAAATCTGGTGATAGCGGTGGAGGGAAACAATAGATATGTGGCAAAGTAAAAACGGAGGAGGGTAAGTAAGAACCTCTGTTTTGACTTGGAAAGACCTACAGTAGTTTCCCTTCGTCTTCATTAATATTCCCTATTAAGCTCCAAGAATCAATGAACAGAAACTGGAACATTTTGTTGGACAGTGAAAGCAGCAGGAAATAGAACTTGGATAATTAGGTTGCGATTCAGTTATAGAAGAGTAAGTACTTATTCGTTCGACATCACGAATCAGTCAATGGATCAGCTGATGGATACTTTTCTTAGTGCTTATTCAACCGATCAAAAAGAAATTGTAAATATGTTATCATCCACTCTCTTCAGGGCTCTCTTCACGAATCAGTCAATGGATCAGCTGATGGATACTTTTCTTAGTGCTTATTCAACCGATCAAAAAGAAATTGTAAATATGTTATCATCCACTCTCTCCAGGGCTTTTCAGGGAGAATTTACACTGGTTACAGGACTTTTGCCAGCAGTCTGATGCTGCTTATGGTGCAGTTTACATAGTAAGCAAGGCCATGCTTCCCTAATGTGAGTGTGAATTTGAGATAGGCCACCACACCGGGGACTCTTTACGAACAGTGAATGGGTCCCCAATAACGTCCCACAAAATTTAGTATATATGCAAGGGTAGTGTGACGTACGTAAGGTTTGTCTTCCATATCTGAGAAGACTACAAAGTCTAACCGCTTGCAGATGTCACTACAAAAGCAACACTTTCTCTTCAGTTATTTAGTTTAAAGACCCTAGGTGTAGAACCAGTCGGGGTTTGAACCAGGTTGAAGGAGATTGTCGTTTATTTCGTCATCGTTTACTAAGTCGTCGTTTCATGGACCTTTGATCTCGCTTTCCAGTCATCCTGAAGACTGTCATACTGTCAATGATCCAATTTATTTTGCATAGTTGCAGTTAATTTTACCTTTCCAGATTAAAAACGAAGATAACAAAATCACCTGAATATGACAAATAAAAAGAATCATTTTTTAAGCACAAGTTATGTTCATTTTTACAGGATACATTTTGTGGAATCTCTAATAATAACTATACAAGCATTGCTGAACAATCAAAAAACATGATTAAGAACAGCTATACTTCTCTTTTATATTTATTTACTTATTTACTTAATTTAAAAGGTAAATTTGAGATATTATATAACCTTTATTTTAAGAGGGTGAGACCAATTACTACTATGAAAAGTATTCTCCCCAGTGGCCCTCTAAAAACAAAATGGATAATAATAAATTACAACAATCATGATAAAAAGTCTATTAAAAATTCTAGAGATTTAAAAAATTGAGAGATATTAAAAACGGAAGTGAATACATTCAGGGTTTGAGCTAGGATTTGATCACTAGGGGACAATTTGTCCCCTTGGCTAAAATTTTGGGGGACATTTTCATTTTTAGGGGGACAGAAATTTGTACACCCTTCCTTGTTAGCAGGGCTTCTGATAGGTCTCGGACGAAAAAGTCAAATTTCGCGGGATTTTTAGGGACAAATTCGCGGAAAAATCGGCCGATTTCGCGGGACTTTTCGGGGCAAACTTCACCGAAAAGCAATCGGTAAAAAACGGCCGATTTTGTGGTTATTTTCAAGGCAAATTTCGCTAGAAATCGATCGGTTTTGCGCTGATCAGACCAGCCTTTTTAACGTTTTTCTAACAGAGGTCATCATTTGCTCTTTCAACAACAATACGCTCCAGAAATGAACCAATGGCAAAGCCTTTAACATGATGGCTAGTGCCCAGTTTTTCGCAACGTAATCTGTTTGCACGTTTCAGTGACGAAGTTCCAAGATAAATTTGCAAGTTTACGGCAAGTAAATATCCCCTATAGCTGAAATAAGTTTCAAATATGTTGTACAGACATGTATTTGATAAGATTTCTACCAAATTTCGCGGTATTTTTCGTGTTCTTGTGAATTTCGCGGCTCCGCGACCGCGCGAAAAATCAGAAGCCCTGTCTTAGATTTCCGACAAAAATAGCAGTAGAGCGTGACTGAAACGTAACTTTGGAATGAACTTTAAAGGTGCGATAAAATATACTTTCCACGTTCTGTTTCAGCTTGCAACTTCTGTACCGAAATAAATCTCTTCGTGTGTGCTTCCTTTTGAGTTTTTTCCCTAAATTTTGAAGGGGACAAATTGTCCCCTTGGCCGTTTTGTAAAGGGACAATTCCAATTGCAGTGCGGGATTGGCGCAATGGCGCGGTCTGGCTCAAACCCTGATACATTGGTAAAAAAGGGAATCCAATCTACAATGATATTTTAAAAAAGCACGGATTTTTTAAAAATCAGAATAACTTTTTAACTTTAAAATTGTCCACCGTATAGTTTGATTATTAGTCAGTGTTGTCTTCATTAAGCTAAAGGAGATGGTTGGTTCTAACTTAAGAGCATTTAGTTCTTCAATAGTGGAATAAAAGAATGTTCTCCTCATTGCTTCGCTGCTTCGGTTCTTGGTTTCGGTAAGCGGTATAATGTTTTTGTTCTGGTAGAATACTTGTGTTCAAACCGAAGTGAGTCCAAGATTGTAATTCCGGTGGTAATATTCCGGTGCTCTTCCATCTATAACTTTCTTTAAAAGAAAGAAAGATAGAAAGTGACAGAACTATGAAGTTCAAAATTAGCATATATTTTGAGCAAATAAAGTGAAAATAAAAAACAGAGACAGAATGAAACTTTCCATTTGAATGTGCTCCAACAAATTAAAACGTGATAAAAAATCACAAAAGTGAATAACCGACTAGTTTGCAAGGAAAAAAATTGTCCTCAGGGCTCGAAATTAACGCTCGCAAACTCGCAAAATGCGAGTGATTTTGATAATCTGCGAGTAAGAAAAATATCCACTAGCAAACGATTGCGAGTTACAATTATCCATGTCTCCCAAACAAAGGGAAATAAATTGCTTGTGGTCTCACCAGTTTGCTAGTCGAAAAAAATCTTACTAGCAAAACTTTGCAAGTGCACTAAAAAGATAACTTCGAGCCCTGGTCCTCATCCACAAAATTAACCTGCTAGACAAATCTAGTGACACACACATTGTTAAACCCTCTATTTTTGAATAACTATACCAACTTGGGCATTTACCATTAACACAGGCTCAAAATCAATGGGAGGCTTTAGGTTTCATAAGATAACATAATGCAGGGAAAAGCTAACATTCCACAATGAAATGAAAAATTGAACATGCAGTGCAATAATACCTGTACATACGTTATTGTTTGTATTAAATAACATCTCTTCACAAAATAAATCTATCAAATGGTTACATTTTTATCACCATTATTGAAAAACTCTTCATTATTTTGTTCCAAGAGCTCAAGAACTTCATCCGGTTGACGTCCTTTTCGTCCTTCCTCTTGTTTCTGACTCCGCTGATACAGCATTCCAGCAAAGGCACTGTTGCGCTTAAAGTACCGACCAGTTGCCCAGATTAACAGGAATGTGACAACTGTCAAGATACTGATTACAAAAGCACAGGCCATTAATGAGCATGGTCCCACCTTGTTCCCTATCGTACTACCCACAGCCAGCGGAATCAGCATCTCACCACAGCTGGAGGCCACCACAAGAACAGATGCTGTCCTTCCTGATACAGTTAAAAAGTATTCTACCCAGCTCAAAGCAGCAGGGAAGACTGACGCCATTGAAACTCCCAAAATAACTGTCCCCACCCACAGCTTTGTCGAGTCTGCAGCACAACAGTCGCCATTCTTAATCTGTGAAATAAGTACTACTGATCCTAACACACAGCCCATTATGTCCAGAAACAGTATCTTTGATGGTCTGAAGTACCTTGAGATGGGTACTGCTGCAAGCCGTGCCAATGCGAAGCTTCCCCAGAAACCAGATGTTACAAATGCCGAACTGTCCTTGCTCAATGTTACATTACTTGTGTAACCATAGGTAAAGATGTATCCGGCGTAAGCAACCTCAAGACCCACATAAAGCAGAAGGAAAACAGAAAATAGTGACAGAATGGTGACTCTGTACATCAAGCTACCCTGTTTGGTCTTTGGAGCATCCTCATCCTTGGTATCCTTGTCCTGTAAGCTGCAGGATTTGATGAAAACAAAGACTAAGAATCCAACACCAGCAATAGCAAGAGGAATTGAGCTGATCCAGTATGCCCATATCACAGGAAAGGTACTGCCATCTGTTTCTTTGAAGGTGGCGCTGAAACAGTAACAGCTGGTGTTTAATGTCTTGTTACTTAAACACTGACTGCTGTTGCTGCAGCAAGCCCATGTCCCATTGCTACTGTCATTGCCAGTCCTATTGGTATCATTTTTTGCAGGGTAGGTACTCTCTTGAAGGAATGGTTGAACTATGAGCGGAGCGAAAAATGCACCAAGGGCAAACACAAAGTGGAGAATTTGCACATATGGCCGTGATTTCTTGCCCCATGTACTTAGTAGAAGTACATTTCCACCTGAAATAAAATAAAAAATGAAACAAATATTATTATTGTCCACAGCTAAGAACAGTCATTGACATGGCAGCACATTACATCTAATAGTGCACTAGACTACCAATGATTTTGTTACAAATAGTTACGGCAAATCCTGAGACTCAACTTGACAGAAGTCATGAGTCCCTTTCCAAAACCATTGAGTCCTAGTTAGAAAAACAACAAGTCACCGCAAGTCTTAATGTAACCACACAGTTAGTCTAAGGACAGACTCCAAAACTCTGTATCACAGTTTACTGATTAGAAATAAAAATATACTCCTTCTATTGTCAAGTACAACAAAAACTAAAAGAAATATGAGATGTTAAACGACATCCACAAGAACATCCACAGAAGTCACGCACACAGGATATTCTACAATTTTAAACATCTTGAGATCGATCAATCGATCTTTAATTGCACTCTACTGGATGCATGCACACCACAAATTATTTTGCCACTTTGGGAATTCTTATACATCAGGGAAGCAGGACGCAGAGGTAACAAAATCACTGACTACAGTACACTTACATTGCATTCTAGCCTGTTCCAGGCGTTCAGATAGTGGGGAGCGGTGCGAAGTAAAAAGGAGCGTGAAAAAAATAAAAGCGAGGGAGGGGGAGAGGTGAGAGAGGGAACCTCTCTCCCCAGTCCCCCTCTACTTTTTATCGCTATCTTTACTTCACACCGCTCTCCACTATCTGAACACTTGGAACAGGCTAATTGCATTCTTAAGTCAGCACAAAGGCAACTCCGAAATAACTTTGTTTGAAACTCTTCATAAGGGCATTCACTAATAAATTATTTCAAGTTGTTCGATAAAATAAAATACACACAAGACAACTGGAAATCAAGCAGCTCTGGATTCCTTTGTGTTTCATTTTACTTCTATTTTCCTATAAATGAAGCCACAGTTAGGTTCCTTGTAGCCAGGGGAAATCCCCAGCATCCGGCCCTTAATAACAGCACTGCCTCATGTAAACCCAAAGGCAAGGGTGACTCGGTCAGCCAAAGGCTTGTATTTAAAAGGGTTAAATTATCTTTAAGTGACAATTAAAACACCATTTTTGCTCTGCTCATATGAAATAAAATTCAGCTTTTTAAAACGCACATAAACACATGCATGTTACTGTGCATGTCTAACACAATTCTAAATAAACCAAAAACTGCTTTAACAGCTCCTCAAACCTAATTTTAAAACAATTATGAATTATATAATCACTTTCCACTTAGCCTTGACAACAGTTCTTGTTATGCTAAGGTCAAGTTCACAAAATTTATGTATAACTACAATGGTGTGGTTCACTTTTATCCTCGCTTTAAATTTAATTTTCCTTTGTTTTGGGGTATGGTAATTATGTATGATTATGAGTTTGAAACAAAGGAAAATAAAATTTGTACCAAGGATAAAACTAAACCACAACAACAATACTGTAGTTTTATACCCACATTATTGCTCCATATATATGTCCTAACACTGATACAGTGAAACCTCTATTAAGCGGATACCTTCCAGACCTTCCCAAGTGCCTGCTTAATAGAGGGTGTCCGCTTAATAGACGTTGTAAAAATTGCGCAATGTTTGTTAACGATCAACATTCAATGGTTACCCTGTACTGTGATAAAGTTGCATGTTGTTAAAGAATCTATCCAGTCGATATCCAGAGTTCAAGTTCATTACCTTTCATTACCATCTTTTATTTTGTTTGTAAATGCAAAAACATTAACTGACTTCAGTCGGTATTTCAATGACGTAATCCAATACTACTATTGTCAATTCAGTCCGGTGCCCACTTAATAGAGGTTTTTAATAATAGAAATTAGCCAAATACAACCAGAAACTCATAAGGGGTTGAAACGTGTAACTCGCGTTCAATGCTCGTGAATATTCACTTTTACCATATTTGGAAACCTTAGTGACAGATATCCATTTTCAACAAATGGCTGGCGCGCGATCACCATGCAGATGTTTTAAGACAAGAGTTCTGCATTTCAAGGTTAATAATACACCGTTAAAAGACAAAAAATGGAAAGAGAAAGTTCAAAAGAATGCTCAGCTTTCTTTTTGTGGAGGAAGGGAAGCTTTTCATCAAGAAATTGTCCTTCGAGGAATTCAACCCTGTTTTCTTCACGACGGAGCGCATGGTCTGTTTTGAAATGCAACCAAGGCAATGAAGTTTTTGCTGAATTTTCAGGTACATTTCGCACTCTATGGCCAAGACAATTACTTTTTTGAAAGGGAATTTATGTATTTTTAAATTTTTCTCTTCAACGCTAAAGAAAGATTACAAATGTGCCCCGATTTGAGATGGATTTTGTGTTGGATTTTGCCATGTGCTTAGCCGATTTCACTTGAGTGAACGGATCCACGATCCAGATAGTGTTTTCCGAATTGCTTTTAAGGATTAACTTTTTGGATTTTGAATAAAAATTTTCCAGAAACGGCTTCTCTGTCTATTGTTTTGAGTTTGTTCATTCATAAAATTAGCTCAAAACACGATCGTGACTACAACATCCAAGCTAAATTAAAGCTTAAACGCTTCTCACATTCTTTACATGCATCACTTTTTGTGAAGATGTCAGGTTCAGGTTTTGGACACTTTTCGATACACAGCTAATTAATAATATTCGAAAATATTTTTTACTGTTTATTCTAGACTTTTAATGTAAGAATTTAAAAAGCCTATTTGCAGTATAAGTTTACTGCGTAGAGGGTCAACTAGGCATCGTTTTTTGAAGTGACAACTTCATGAAGTTGTAAGGACGTCAGTGGGTTTCATAATGTTATGTTTGGCCTGGGTGGTAAGGCAATAATATCCTGCTCAGTGTTTCAGTAAGATTCCTGGTTTCAACCTTTGAAAGCTTTCTCGGCTTTCGGGAGTTTTTCCCCCGTTTGTTGGCCATTTTTTTCAAGCGGGCACGGGAACATGAAGTAAAATAGGTTACGTTGTTTACGAAGTTTGATTGGTCAGTTATCTCTTCTTCTCGTTCCAAATATGGTACTTTCGAAAATGAATAATCACGAGCATCGGACAAAGCAAACATATGAGAGTTACACGTTTCAACCCCTTATGAGTTTCTGATACAACTTATTTTAGTGTCTGCGTCGGCTTAATAGAGGTGTGCACTGAACAGGGGTTTGTTATAAAGGGAAATATAAGATGTTAATCTCGGGACCCAGCTTAGTGTCTGCTTAATAGAGGGTGCCCGCTTAACTGGGGGTCCGCTTAATAGAGGTTTCACTGTATTACATCTAAATAACTGGAGTGTGAATTCATTGTCTCCTGTATGTAAGTACCTGTATTGAGGAAATATAAGACATTAATTTCGGGACCCAGCTTAATGTCTACTTAATAGGAGGTGCCTGCTTAATTGCTGGTCCGCTTAAGGTGATTCCATAGTAAAAGAACCTAACATAGATTGTAGCTAAAACTTGGTACACTGATGTAACAAGTCAAGAAGATGATAAAAAAGTAATAAAAAGTGGGGGTCACCGTGCTCGTTTTGACGTCACAATGCTGACAAATACGGCTATTTATGACCCTTTTACAAAAACCGCGGGCAGCCCAAAACTAGACAAAAAGGAAAGATTTTTTCGATGATGCATGTGGCATCACACAGAATTTGACTTTAATGTATTGTTTATCCACTTACGTACCAGAAAAATGCCTTTTAATGCCCTTGTTTTTAGTTTACGCTCCAAAGCAGAATTAAATTGGCGCGAGCTTTTCGACCTGTGATGGCTCAATCCGTACAATTTAGTAAAATTGCCAAAAAACTGAACATAGATTTGTGCCAATTTTTTTCTCATCAAAAGGAAGCACTGTCCTTATTAAAATCATGACATAAAAAATGGGGGTCACCATACTCGTTTTTGCGGTAGAGCTGCAGAAAGTGCGCACCAAACGCATTTTCTCCGATTTTTGAGAGAGGACTGGGGCGAGTTTCAAAATAGAATGTATGTGAAAGGGGGAAGAAAGTATTAAAAAATCCGTTTTTACAGAATTTACATCGAGATATCTCATTTAGGATACAATGCGATAAAGAAAGTGTTTAAATGGAAATCAAATTGAGTAAGCACAAGTTAACCCATTCGCTCCTGGAGATTCTGCCCAAAAACGCGTTTTGAAGCTAGTCGAGTGGTTTTCTGGTCACTGTCGTGCTATAAAGAGCTAAAACTTACCACAAACCAGTTTACAGGTTGTACACTTGGCGGCCTTCTGATCCAGATGCAAAATATCAGCTTGCGAAATTCGGGCATGCGCAGAAAGCAAAATTTCGACACATCAAGTGACACATCAGTCTTGACTTTTACTTTTCGCTTACTCTCCTCCCTACTTTTTTCGCTTTTCTTGCCTCATTTTTTTTCTCTTGCTGGGCATTTAGTAGGCTTCATTTTGGTGGGAAGAGTTTTTAGGAAAGCTTTTAGGATCTTAGGATTAGGTGAAAGGAAAGGTAGGTGGGTAATGGAACAAGATTTTCATGGAGATTTTCAGGTCCTTGTCACGTGGTTTTTTGCTTCTTTCTCCGGTGTTCTTGACTGAATTGTGCTCATTCTGGTATGGTTTGAAAGATCTCTTCACTCTGCACAAGTTAGCAAAGAAAGTTGTCCTTGACCGTTAAAACTGATGACGTCACAAAGGGTAGAAAGGACCTGGATCCGCACGGGCGGTTACGGGTGGTTCAGGGGCGAATGGGTTAAACATCCACTATCGAGGTTCTCCGAGAGGAGGTCGAACTCAGCGACACGCGTACTGCTTACGTTATGCACATTCCCAACACATTGAGTCTCACCTTGGCAAGAAACAACAGCAAGCAAAAATTCCAATAGCGTTTCTCTTGAGTCAACTTCATTTTAATAATATTACTTCACATGCTGTCGGCCATCTTGTTATGCGCAGTAAGAGATGCGCAGTGCAAAACTAGGGAATCACCTTAATAGAGGTTTCACTGTATTACATCTAAATAAAAGGAGTGTGAATTCAATGTCTGCTATATGTACGTACCTGTATTGAGAGAACCAAGGCCCACTCCCAACAACACAGTAACAATAACCAATCCTGACAGAGATGTGACATATGGCAAAACCATCATCATTAGAGTGCCCCACACACAGGACAGTGCTAACACGACATGGCCATTATACTTGTCATAAAACCATCCACCAATAATGCTACCTGTGAGGTAACCAAATGCACGTGAGGTGAACACATATGACATCTGCTCCAATTTGGTGGAGGTGTGGCACATCAGCTCCAAAAGTGTAGGCCCGAGGATGGCCACACATGATCCCTATGAGATATTGATTATTGTATGAGGTTCATTGTAATAGTTATTATTACAGAGCTCAAGCAAAAACATTTTTGAGAGACACAAGTCAACTGGAAGTGTAAACGTTTTGCATTCTTGAGCATGAAAAAACACATTAACCTGACAAAGTGTAGCAGATGTCTATCTCATTGATTGTGATTCTAGCACAAAATGGTAGTATCTAGAAATAATTATCTGTTATATTTATATTCCTTACTAAGCAATGGCCAGAGACCTAAGTAGATTATAATTTTGTTATAATTAATTTTGGATTAGGTGTGGAAAACTATTAGGGAGGTGGCTATATTTCTCTGTACTTGTTTGGTGCCCATTTTAGCAATCAAAAATGCTTTTGGGGATAAATTTCAATGGCAAAAGTACAGCTTCAAGGAGAAATGGAAGCAATTTGGACCATAAGCCCCAAAATAAGAGTGGAAATTGAAGTAAAGATACAATCGTAGATCGGCTGACTTTTATTGGCTTTGTTGGCCATAATTATCATGATCTTCAAATGTGATAAAATTTGTTTTTAAGTTTGGTTTTTTACTTTTAACACCCTGCTCAATTTTTCATCCAGTTTTAAACAGTGTTTTCTACCCACGGGGTGTGTACTCCCTTTTATGGCAGATACGGGAATGTGCCGCTGGAAGGGGTATGGTTTTTGTCCTCTCTGTCCTAAACAGGGTACATAGTTTCGCGCAAGTTTGTCCTTAACAGGGTATATAAATTCATGTGAGTCCTGTCCTAAACCCGGCATGATTAATTTGATTTGCTAGATGAAATTTGTTTGTACTCCAAGTAAGAAAGTAATGATTAGAATGTACATTTGCTGCTGATAAATGGATTTAAATGAAGACGGCATGCTTTTTGTCCTTTGTCCTAAACAGGGCATGTATTTTAGGATTTTTGTCTTCAAAGACAAAAAAATCCTAAAATAAAAACAGGGTGAGGGTTTTGAACTACTATACCTAAGTATTGGTACAGAGACCAGCATCCCTTCCCCCGCCGCCCCACCCCCACTTGGGGTTTTCTGCAGAATATACACTGTGCGAAAATTATTTTTGGACTTTTCCTCACATGGCCTAATGGTATATACATTTTTTTCCTTCCAAGCACACAACCTCAGATTCAAATTTCTGTTGAGTAAATATATGTTCTTTTATTTCTTATTTTTCTCTTTAAACTTTTCTCCTTATTCCTGATTCTCAGAACTGATTTAATTTTTACTCCTGTTCGACCTTTTGATAGGACAGAACAGAATGGAAAAAGAGACACTCTGTAAAAAGAGGTGTCTCAATATGTATACATGTTAGACGTGTTCGTGAATAGCGGTTTTCGCTGAGTAGCAGCTGTCAGTGGCAGATCACTGATTTTCAGTTTTCTTGACAATGTGGCCTTCTGAATTCCTCCTACAAGAACCCTAGTAACGAGGCTTCTGGTTAACTCTAAAACAGTCCTAGCCGTCCATGAGCCTGTTATCACTTTTTTGGTTGTTTATATGTCACTTAAGCTTAATATACGCAAATATTGTTAACTAAAAACTTACAGCTTTGCTGCAACTTACCAATCCGAAGAAACAAACGTAAAGGCAAACTGTTTTAGCTGCTCGTACAGATGAAGAAGAATACCTTGGTACACCTTTGCTTGCTGAAACACCAGACGCGGTGGCTTCACCATTTACATTCCTTGAAAGATTTGCACCATTCGCTTTCGACTTTTGAAGATACTCAACCATTTCGTCATCTTCGTCGTCCCAAGCGCGGAGAATCTCCGCCATTTCGTCTGAGCTGGCTTGCTGATGCGAACTTCTTGCGCTCCTTTGAACAGTCGACCATCCAGCCATCTTGCAGAATAAAAAATGTGCTTTGCTTCAGTTCACGTTTCCGAAATTCGACGTTGCAGATTAAGAAACAAAATCGCGCTGAATTCCCTTCATCCCAGCTGAATGTTTGTAAACAGCGGGATCACTCACTGCGCGTGCTGTCACCTGGTCAAAAGGGGCTCTCCTTTCCAAGGGTACCTTAGTAGAAGGTATCTGAAAAATGAAATAGAAACCGGACGAAAATGACGAATTTTCGGCACTTATGTGACATCGATATTAAAATATCCTTAAATTTATTTTATGTGATTAAATTTTTTCAAATTCTATCCCTGAAAGATAAAATTAGAATACAATGAATATTTCTACCCTCCCCTCCCTACTGTAAGAGCCATCAGCCTTTGATCAACAGGAAAACCGCGGGAGATATCCCAGGCTATCTCGTATTTCAAAATGGCGGCACTGTCTGTCTCGCAGCTTTCAATGTCATGGATGGCGCTTTTGTCGTATCTGGATAAATCAGGTTTGAAGAATGGACTGGCCCTTTTAGGTAAGCGATCGAATACTGATTTTATCATCTTTAAAGGGAAAAATTCTTGTCCGGAACGGGAGTTACTGTTAATCACCAAGCTGCTATCGTCTCCAGTTGCCCTTGTAGGTCTATCTCCCATTCGGATTCTTGACTGAACAAGCTTATTGAAGTAGACTAGAAATACGTGTCTCGCAAAATCTCGTGAATTCGGTGTGAACAGTGTCACTAGTCTCTTATGCGGTCGTTTTTTGTATGAATAGTGTCACTCAGAGAACAATGGACTCTTGTAAAACTTTGAAAGCTTTGAACCCAGGAGTCATTTCAAAAGGTTGAGTTTGATCGTCCGGGTGAACGTAGTCCTGAATAGGACTGTTGTTGTTGACAGTGACTGACGTTTCGACAACCTGTGCGGTAGTCATCTTCAGAGTCATCAACTGACGTGACACAACTCACTTTGACTCTGAAGATGACTACCACACAGGTTGTCGAAACGTCAGTCACTGTCAACAACAACAGTCCTATTCAGGACTACGTTCACCCGGACGATCAAACTCAACCTTTTGGGACTCTTGTAAATTCAACTTATTTGAAGTCTACCCAGTTATTAAACCTGGTGGGTTCATACTCTGCATTGTTATTAAATTACCTGCAAATAAGTGGAAGGGTAATCTAAACTAACCAATTTTACAATTCTGTTTTGCCAGAAGTCTTGACCTTTGAATCCTGGGGGGGAGGGGGTACTCCCCTATAAAAGTGTCAGGGTTGCTCGTCGGAAAATTTCGAGAACACCCCCTTAAAGGTACGAGAATCTTGTTTTTATGAGTTTGTCCCAAATTCATTTCCACCCCTATACAGAGGTACCAATTCAACAGCAACAAATTATATAACTGCAGTCTCGGTCAAAATGGTTGGGACACTTTGGGGTCTCCTTGTCCCCTCAATGTTGGTGTACAAGATTTGGTGACCAAACCGCGATAAACAACTTTGATAGGGACGAGGGTGTTGTGACCGATCTGGTCGGCAAATAATGGAAGATTACAACGGATTCAACCTTGGACGATGGCTTTATTTCGCCTACACGACTCGTGGCTCCTGATTCTATAGTCAGGCGTTACAATGTCCTACCGAGAGGGAGTCTGGGTCCTAATACACAACATCCCTCCCCATTTAGATAGAAAACAATAACATTTGGCAGAAGTAGAAACAAAATAATAATTGGTCCAATAAACATAAACATGGACTAGCAACAATGTCAACAATGTCTGTGAGAATTCAGTGTCTCTAAAGTTTAAGTACAATAGTCTTTGAGATAACTTGGGGCCACTCTGTGTCTCTGGGACCTCCTAAGTGGAACTTCAGGCTCAATAACATTTGGTTCGGTATCACCACACTCTGCTGCGGGTCAGTTTATCCTGCTTGTGGGGCTCCCGGTCACCACCACTTCCGGTACACTTGGTGTATCATCATGTGTATCACCATTCTCTAGCAGTTTCTTTACATGAGATGTATTATGGGAGTATTGGGCTCCTCCTGGAGATTGCACGATCAAGCTGTTCCGTGCTTGTTTACCACAGTATACGGACTTGGTTCAAAACGGGTTGTGAGCTTATTTTTCCTCTCTTGTTGCACTAGCACTTGATCTCCAGGAAGTACCTCTGAGTACCTCGCATTCCTTTGCATGTCAGCGCACGCTTTGCTCTTACTCTTCTGTTCATTGTCCCTATCACGCACTTCTTGTTCGACATGTACATCGCTCAGCTCAGGAAGCTTGGTGCGTACTTTCCGTCCGAAGAGCAACTCGGCGGGGCTTACACCAGTCGTTGGGTGAGGTAAGCTTCTGTACGCTGCAAGATAAACATTCAGCTCTTTCTTCCAGTCCTTCTTTTTTGAGCATGTGCGATTTGGAGCCTTTTCAGAAGTGAGCTATTTTGGCGCTCGACTTCTCCATTTGCCTGGGGCCATTTTGCTGTTACCCTGTGGTGTCTGATTCCCTGCTGCTCCATGTACTCTGTAAACTCTGTTGCTACGAACTGTGGTCCATTGTCAGATGTCAAGCTCTCAGGTAGACCATGTCTTGCAAATATCTCTTCTAGACTCGAGATGACTTTAAAGGAAACTGTGGATGTCATGATGTCTATCTCGTAGTAGCGACTATAGTAGTCAACGACGACCAGAATGGACTCACCAGTGGTGAGTGGTCCGAGCAAATCAATTGCCAAATCTCTCCATGGTCCAGTTGGCATTGCTGTACTCCTGATAGGCTCTGGTGGGCTGGGACGGCTAACTGACATCTATAGCAGGTTTTGCAGTGTTTCTCAGCATCCTTTTCCATCTTGGGCCACCACACTTTACTGAGCAACTTCCCAGATGACCTTCGTGAGTGAGAGACAACACCCTGGGTCTGAGTTTCTTCGGGATAACGATTCTTGTCCCTCTTAGTATCAATTGTCCCATGCTGCACAGTTCACTACTACATGGGAGGTATTTCTTGTAAGCTAGCTGATCCCACGGTTTTCCGTTTAGGCATTCCTTGACTGCACAGAGTTCTTCATCGATTGCTGAGGCTTCTTCCACTTCTCCTGTAGTCATAGCACAGGGGTCGCTTTTATGGCTATAAATCTGACATATTCCTCGGCTTCAGCTGAGTGACTGCTGCTGGTTTTAGATTTCCCACTAGCCTTGAGAGGGGTCAGCAATGTTGCTCGCCCAGGCTCATACTTGACCTTGAATTTGTATGGCTGCATTCGTAACACCCATCTTTCAATGCGTGCGCAGGGTTTTGACCTTGGGCCGTAAATAACTTCCAGCGGCTTGTGATCCGTAACAAGATCAAATGGCACACCATACACATAGGGATGGAACTTTTCGCAGGCCCATACGAGCGCCAGGGCCTCTTTCTCTGTCTGCGAATATCTTCTCTCGGTGTCTGTCAGACTACGACTTGCATAGCAGATGACTCTCGGTCCATTCTTCTGCTTTTGGGTCAGTACCGCTCCCAGTCCAACAGGGCTGGCATCAGCAATCACTTGGGTTGGGGCATCTTTGTCGAAGTACCCCAAAGTCTCAGCACAGGTCAATCGCTCTTTTAGCTCCTGAAACGCCTTCTTCTGTTCACCTCCAAACACGAAAGGGGTCCCTGACTTTGTCAGGCGACGTAAGGGCTCAGATACCGTTGCCAGGTCGGGTATGAAGCGGCCACAGTAGTTTACAAGCCCAAGAAAACTTTGGGTTTCTGATACTGTTCGAGGTTCTCGTGCCTCTTTCACGGCTTTCACCTTTTCTTCTGTGCAACTGATCCCGTTTCCGGACAATACCATGCCAAAGAATGTGAGTTTATCCATGCTAAACTGGCACTTTTCTGCATTGAGGGTCAGTCCACGTTCCTTTAATCTCACAATTACTTTCTCCAACCGCAAATCGTGCTCTTTCTGGTCTCTACCATGTATGATGATGTCATCTGAAATGTTCTCTTGCCCTTCTATACCCGCAAGTGCCGTCTGGATCTCGTACTGGTACTGTTCAGAAGCAGAGTTAACACCAAACAATAGTCTCTTGTATCTGAACAGACCGCAGTGGGTAGCAAACGTAGTAATCTCTCGGGATTCTGGGGAAAGTTCAAGCTGGTGATATCCCCACTTAAGGTCAAGTTTGGAGAATACCTTGCTGCCACTTATGCTCTGAGTAATCTCATCAACAGTAGGGATCGGGTGTCTGGCTCTTCGTATTGCTTTGTTAGCCCTTCGCATGTCAATGCAAAGACGGATGTCACCCCCAGATTTTGGGACAACAACAATTGGGTTAACCCACGGTGTGGGCCCCTGTGCAGGTTCAATAATGTCTAGTTCAATGAGTTCTTTAATCTTTTCTTCCAACTTTGATCTCATGCTGAACGGAGTCCTCCGCATCGGCTGTGCTACTGGCGTCACATTGGGGTCGATGTGGAGCTGTACTGCTCTGTCTTTCAACTTTCCAACGCCGCTGAAAACATTTGGGTACTTCTGTTGCAGGATCCCACCAATGGTCTGTGGGTCTGCACTTACTGCAGTGATGCCAATCCCTATTTTCAGTACGCCCTAGACTAGTTGCAGTGTCCTTCCCCAGAAGGGGGTCTCCTTCACCATTAATCACACAAAATTTGGCACTAGCAGTATTGCTTCCTGCAGAGACTTCACAGGAGAATGTTCCTATCACATCAAGTGGTGTCTGGGATGCGAGGCATAGAGTTTCCTACTCGAGCGAGCTGATTCACACTTCACTTTGTTTTTCTTCAACCACTCCCATGTTTCCTTGTCAATGATGTTAGTGCTTGCTCCAGAATCTATGATCATGTTCAGCTTACAACCTCCAACGGTTACTTCAATCTTCTCATTCCTGCCTCCTACCGTAAAAGCATACCCGGTTCCTCTTCTTCGTTGTGGCAACCAACCATATTTGCGGCACCTCCCTTGGGGTTCCTGTGGCCTTTGGTTTGTTTTTGCTTTTCTTCACCTTTCTGCTTGGTCCTGCACTGCTCTTGAAAATGTCCTTCCAGCCCACATCGATGGCAGAATTTACCTCTTGCTGGACAGTTAGAGTCTCGAACCGAAATGTCGGTTTTACCACATCGGTAACAAGTTTTCTCACGGCGGTTTTGGTATCTCGTGACTGATTTCTCTTGCCATGGCCTGTCTTTGTTCCCTCTATGCGGTTTACACTAGCTGAATTCTCTCCCTTTTCCTCTATGGTCATTGCAGCAAGCTGTGCGTCGACTTTTTCGCAGTTCTGGGCGATTTCAAGCGCTCTAGCTAAAGTGAGGCCTTGACGTTCTTCCAGGAGTTTTCGTTTTATATACGTGCTGGTGCACTTGCAGAGGATTTCATCATCAATTTGGTTATCTGTATCTTCGCCATAGTCACAATCTTTCGATGCTCGTCGGAGTCTGGTTGCAAACTGTCGGATTGTTTCCCCTGGTGCTTGAATTAGCTGTCTGAAACAGTGTCTAGCATACGTAGTGTCGACTTTGGGGCGAAGTATGCGTTCAGTGCATCGACCGCTTTCCGGTAATCTTTCACATCTCCCGTGTTCGGCAGGGTAAGGAAAATATCTTGAACATCGGGTCCCGCGAGATGGAGCATTAATGCACGTCTCCTCTGCCTGTTGTTCGCGTTGTCTTCATTTAGAATTAAGCCTTTGCCATCTGCAAATAGTTCGAAAGCTGTCAGCCACCGTTTCCATCGCAAGCCAAGCGTGTTTTGGTCCCCATGACAGTCGAATGTTTTGATATGGTTTCGTTCATTATCGTCCATGTTTCTCGCGAACTTTTCGTCTCGCTGACTTCTTGGGATCTTGTTTTACCCTCGTCGCCAATGTTGTGACCGATCTGGTCGGCAAATAATGGAAGATTACAACGGATTCAACCTTGGACGATGGCTTTATTTCGCCTACATGACTCGTGGCTCCTGATTCTATAGTCAGGCGTTACAATGTCCTACCGAGAGGGAGTCTGGGTCCTAATACACAACAGAGGGGAGCACGAGAAGGGAAAAAACAGCATTTGGTTAAGGTGTCCCAACTATTTTTGTCTGAGACTGTGTTACTGCAAATTTTGAAGTAATAAAGATAACTTTTTTTTGTACTTCTCACCTTATACCGCTCTTTAATTTTGCCTTGTATCAGTTATGGTATCTGTGCGTGGGGTCATGCTGCTGAAACGCATCTTCATAAGCTACTGGTTCTCCAGAAGAGAGCCCTTAGGCTAATGTTCTTCGCTGAACCAAGAACTCATGCAGTTCCGTTGTTTTTAGAAACAAAACAGTTGCCGATATCATTCTTGCTATTTGAGCAAATGAGCCTTTTAATGTATGACGTCCATAATAATCTCGCTCCTGATAACATTAAGAATATGTTCACGAAACTGTCTTCTGTCCACAGTTACCGGACTAGATCTGTTACTTATGAAAATTACTATGTTGAACAAGTTAGAACTGAATATGAAGCGAGCCTTCTCTATTTCCGGTGCTTTAATTTGGAACAGTATTCCACTTTCTATGAAAACATTTTAAAAAAATCAATTCAAAAGCGAACTAAAGAGAAAACTCTTTGAAATACTGGAAAAAGAGGACGACTATTTTAGAGTTTCTGATATTGCAGGGCAATTCTCAAAATCATAACATGGTGTGCTTCCGTATGAAGTACAGTCTGCCTTCCTGTCTCACTCTGGCTATAAACCACACGACAAACTAGACTGCTTCTAGGATTGTTCGTTTAACATATATATATATATATATATTTATACAATTTTCCTTTTTCTCTTGTACCCGCCTCAAATAGCCTTTGCTAATTGCGGGCACAAGCTTTGTAAGCTATAATTTTATTATTTATTTGAAATAAACTTGTTGTTTCGAACACTTTCTTCTCAAGGACTTTTTGAAAGTATTGTCAAAATTCTTTATCTGGCAGCAGCCATTTCAGGTTTTAGCACCCTTCTTGACAAGTAAATTGGGTGTTCCAGGAAAAAATCGGTACTTGTACCATGGAAGGTTTATCGTAATTCCTAAGGGGAGGGTTGGTGTAAGCAAGCCAGAAACTGTGATCACAGTAAAAAAGAAGAAGGTCAACAAAACACCAAAAGGGCCAATGCCGTACTTTGCCTTTACAAAAAATAATATCATAGATTGATAAATATCACATGGCAGTAATGCCAGGAAAACACGTATTGCAATCCTTAAAGGTTGAATTAAGTGAGTAGATTCCGGACAAAAAACCTGGTTAAGTCCCTTAAAAGTCAATTTTTTTTATTTGTATACTTCTTTTACCATTTTTAATATATTTTCATGCGGCACAGTCATAAACACCCTGCCAAAGGAGCCTTTTTTTGGTTACTCAATTTTGCCATTCTTCAGAAAGACTCTGCATAAATCAAGTAAGATCTTTGTTGAGCATGTATTGCATATTGCTAGAATACAACTTTGAACCCAGGCCTAATATCAATGTGCTGGATATAGCAGGCTCTGTTATGAACATGGCATCAATAAAAAGGATGCACGAATTAAAAAACCCAGTTATTGAATTCGGCTTTTGTATCATATGAAGAATTATGGAGATCAAGGAGGGTGTTATGGCCGAGATGGATAACACCCTCCTTGATCTCCATAATTCTTCATAAGATACTCAGCGTCATTCATTAATTGATTGCTAAATATTTCCACTTGTAGGTTTTCTTTGGGCAGCAAATGTGTCAATCAAATTTGCATTTAATTTTCTGGTTGGGTTAAGGATTCATGTGTTATCTCAACTAACAAAGAGAAAGGACCTTGCTTTAAAATATGGTGGCAAGTGGGCAGGTTAGTTATAAAATCACTTCTGTTAGTTATTATTTTACTTGTGCTTTGAGGTTTTGTCACTGTTAAGAGATTGCTCATAATTATCCTGAATATTATTATGTGTACGTGCAGATTTAAGGCCCACCTCTTATCTGTTAGCTTTGCTTAACAATAAACTTGCCACCACTTGTTTTTGTTCTGTTTTGTTCAATGTTGGTTGTCTGAAATAGTCTGGAGACAAGGTTGTGCTCTAAGGAAAATTGAAGGGAGCCTGGTCCCCTGAAACTGTAATATCTAGGGTGTCCAGCATGAATTGTCTGAAAAAACTAAGATTTTCTAGTTGCCCAAGGACAAAAGTTAGGTGCCAGGGACCACCGGGTGTTGCTAA